AAAGATTAGAGGTGTTACAAGAGAGTAACAAACACAATAAGGTCATACAAGTGCCCAAGATTAGAGGTGTTACAAGAGAGTAACAAACACAAAAAAGAAAAAGGAGAGATCAGGACGATAGATGTTCGCCAGGAAAGAAGAAGCAAACCCCACCAGAGCACCCGCCAACCACCAACATTCCACTGTCAACTGAACAAATCAACCAATGTCCCTATGCCAGATGTACCCCCCTTCACCTGGTTCCACTCGCGTATGGCGTTGGTACATTGCTGCTTGAGTCCATTCCTCTCCAGCGACAGTCCCTCGATCTTGCCCCTCATCTCCTCCAGCTGGACCCGTAGTCCGTTGTTCTCCTCTGTCACCGTCTCCAGCCTGGGAGGGGGGGGGGTGTGTGAGTCACCACAGAGGAGAGGGGGAGGGGGGGGTGTGTGAGTCACCACGCGGGAGGGGGGGATTGATGATTTAATACCGTCTTTTCATTGGCGGAGAACTATACACCTTTGAGCGTGGTTTCCTGCGGTTGATATTTCTGGCCAAGACAACGTTCGGTGTTTTTATTGAAATAACGACAGATCATCGTGTTTGAGGCAATAAAATACTGACTTGCACTGATCTCAGTCTTGGAAAATATTAGGCTTCATTTGTATGTTCTAGTGAATGTTCTCTGTTAAAGTAGAGATGTCTGGTGCTCTTGTTACTCTTTTCCAATCTGTCAAACATGGGGGGGTGGCAGCCAGTTAACGACTTCCGCAATATTATTATTATTACCGTATGTTAAATTGAAACAGCTGCCATTCTCTTAAACATTGACTGAGAGGTAAAAGTATGGTACCAAAATTCTCAGGAGATATAGGCCTTTCATATGAAATAGATGAATTTGACATACAGCCACTTTGAAAATTCAGTGTCTGGTACCTAGTATAGTGCTAATATTTTGTTGCATTTGACGTGAAGTCCATTCTCGTTAAAATTTTGTTTGATCCATAAGTTTTTTTCTCTGTGAATGAATAGTTTTCTACTTTTGTAAGTTACTTTGTAGTGGCATAGCCAAGATAACTGCTAAATCTCAAGTCTCTGTCTCAATTCTAAGACCCCCATTGCTATGGAAACATGTTGCTCAACTTCGGAGGCCATTTCCCCTTTTCGTGTTTCCTCACCTGGCACAATTAGAAGTTCTGTATTTTCCTCAAATATTGTCATATTTACTTCATTCTTGTTTTAAATTGTAGGGAAGAGGTGGTAGTTTTTGAAAATAATGTTAACTCAGTTTGGAAATGTCCTTCCTATGACTGATATTGACCGGCAGGGACACATATAGTTGCTGTATGGTTGTGAAAGTTCTTCTTTACGTGGTTCAACTGGTTTTTCTTGTTTCTGTGAAATGTTTTCTCTTGTGTGAATGATTATGTGGTTGGTGGAAAGCGCTCAGAGTTTATACTACTATGGGATACAGTGTTTTATAAATGCAATATATTATTATTATTATTATCATCATGATGTCGTCATCATTATTATTCTTATCATCATCATCATCAATATCGTCTTCATTATCATCATCATTATCATCATCATTATTATCATTATCATTATTATCATTATCATCATCATCATTATTATTATCATTATCATCATTATTATCATCATCATCATCATTATCTTTATTCTCATTAGTGGAGACCAGGGAGAAATAAGGGTACCAAGCAGCCCTCACCTGGCTAGGGCGGCGCCCCGAGAGGTGATCATCTCAGCGTACTGTTCCCGCAGCAGGTCGTAGTCTTTGTGCATGTTCTCATACTTGTCCAGCAGCCCGTCCGATGTCCCGCTTTCACTGGCAGTCTGAAGAATATACACACACAAGTACACACACACACACAGGAACACACACAAGTACACACACACACACAGGAACACACACAGTAAGCATATGTTTATGATATGATAACAACTGAGCTCTTCATCCGTTCTCATAACTGGCAGCCTGACATACAAACACAAACACTCACACACACAAGTACACACAAGTACACACACACACACAGGTACACACGCACATACACACATACAAACCCATGGACACACATGTAAACGCACACACACACACATGTACACACACACACACATGTACACACACACAGATCAGATGTTTACAGTTTAACAACAACTGAGCCCATCAGATCTGATTTTTTTTAAAAAAGGAAATTAAACATTTCCTATTAAAGTGGCCACATTGATCAATATACTATTGAGACAAGACAAGCTTCAAAAGTGTACAGAACAGAAAAACTTCTTCGTTCAACTCTTTCAAAATGGTGCCACTTTATTTCCACATCTGAGGTTTTCCTCTCTTACCCCCGAGGTCACACAGTACAGACAGTCCAACTGCACAAGGCCTGGTCTGCTGATCTTTCTCACCTAGTTTTAGTATTAGTAAAGAGTTTTACGGCACTTGCAACACAATAAAGTCGTATAAGTGCTAAAGAATAGACGTGTTACAAGAGAGTAACAAACACAAAAAAGAAGGAGGAGAGATCAGGACGATAGATGTTTGATAGGAAAGAAGGAGCCAACCACACCAGAGCACCCGCCAACAACCCACTGACCTAGTCTAAGCCAGCCCTGACCCCCACAGTTTCGCCAACCCTCACAGGAAGTCCCCCTGTGTATAGTTTAGTCGTTGTCGCACTGTACTTCCAACACAAACAGCTCATACAAGTGGCCTTTTCTTACAGTTCAGGGAGGGAGTTTTCCGGCAGTGTTTCTCGTTTTCCTGAGAGTTTTTCGTCACTTTCAGCACAAACAGGTCCCAGACAGTTTTAGTAAAAGTTTTATGGCACTTGCAACACTATAAGGCCATATAATTCAGTGCCGAAGATTAGAGGTGTTACAAGAGAGGATAAAGACAATAGAGGTTAGACCGGAAAGAAGGAACAACCACAACAGAGCACCCGCCAACCACACACGGGTTCCAGATGGTTGGCCAACACGTCTGCTAGGACATTTCAGTGACCCACGCTCAGCACTTTTCAAGGACCCCCGAGCAAGTGTTGAGTTCCTGCGTGCTGTCGGCATCGCTGACCATTTATGACGCCACAGCGGCAGAAGAGAGAGAGATGATCCACTGACCTTCCTCTGCTGGTGCCTGAGCTCCACCAGCTCCTGTTTGTCCTCACTGCGCAGCTTCTGCAGGTTGGCGATCTCCTCCAGGAGCTGTTTCTTCTCTGTGTGCAGCTCCGACTGTTGGCCCTTCAGGGAGAGAAGCTCTGACGTCACCTGGGGGAATAGAACAGACATGTGTCACCTGACGTACACACACACATACATACACACACACACGCACAAACACACACACACATGTTGGCCCTTCAGGGAGAGAAGCTCTGACGTCACCTGGGGGAATAGAACAGACATATGTTACCTGACATACACATACATACACACACAGACACACACACACACATGTTGGCCCTTCAGGGAGAGCAGCTCTGACGT